AGCTGCTCCGGAGCAGCTGCTGGGCCTCACCCCTCTTCTCTGATAATCATTAAAATTCAATTTCAAAATTTCTGTCTTTAACAATTTCCCAGGGAACCTATGAAAGATGCCAAAAGAGAAGGGCTTTTTTCAAGTGGTCTTGTCCTGGGAGCAGGCGGGCCCTGGTCAAGTTGCCTGCGATGGCCCCGCAGACCAGCGGGCAGTGTCCCGAACGAACGGAGTGCTGTGCCCACTGGGACCAAAGGAACAGCTCTGGGCAAGCGTCAAGGCAGGTTAAGAAGCTGGGGAAGGCAACTAGCTCTTTTGTCATCCACAGGGCCCCTGGAGCACAGCCAGTCTGGCCCTGGGGGTGGAGCTCAGAACCAAGTGGAAAGTTCTCACTCTCATTATCTTACAATCCTTCACTTACTTTCTTCTCCCCCCCTCAGCTCACTGGCCTGTCAGCCTTGATACCAAAAGGAAAAATATTTCTGTATCAGCAAGTTCCCTTCTGTCGAAAAGCTTCCCCTAGCAGCTCTTTCTCCCGGGGCCGGAGAAGTCGGCTTCTGGGTCAAGAGGAGGCTTTCTGAAGTGTTTCGAGAAAGAGAACAATAGATGCACACGCACGAAGTGTGGTGGCCCAGCTTCATCCGGAGCTTTGACAAACAAACATTCTTCAGACGCGACCGTGGAGTACTTTTTCAGTCCTCTCCTCCCAAAATTTAACATGGGATTAGTACCAAAGATGCCCCCAGTTGGAATCAATGGAAAGAATATAGCATTTCTTTGAAATTCTAGGTGGGAGCTAAGGTACCCGAAGCCCCTGTTGCCTTCTTCACCTCTTAATCGCATACAACCATCTTCTTAAATACCAGCTCTCTCTGTTATGAAACCACTGGCTCCTCAGCATACCTAGGACTTGTTCTCCTCCCCTTCAATTTTCATCCCTTACTCTTTTTTCCTCTGGGGCACTGAGCCAGATTCTCAGAATTAAAGCACGATCTCACAATCGCCATGACAAGTTAACAGGAGAATTTGGGGGCTGTGCTGAAAATATATGATGGGGTAAATGTTACAACTAAATGCAGCTGCAGAGTGGCCGTTTAGGGCATCAGCAATGTATGTCACATTTTTCCATAGGCTTCCATTTATTTCATTTTCAGGGTCCACTGATCCTAACAGATACAAGTTAAAACTGAAGTAACTTAGAGAAATGTTAAAGAAGAGACTAAGATTAAGTCCTTTCCTGACTGGCAGCCATGGTATCTTATATAGGCCATGATTTGGGGGTCAGACTCTTTCATACACTGGGAACCTGGGTAGACTAATACCGAAAGCCCTGCTTCTTGGTCTTTAATTGCAAACCTGGCGGGATGGAGCTCTATACCAATTCAAAGAAAATCAATCAATGCTTATTAGCCATAACAGATCAATAAAAACAATGAGCTGGAGAGATAATACTAACAACACACCCTTGTTACCATCAGACCAAAGTTCCTAAGTCCTTTGAAGCTTCCTACGGCACATATGATTTTTTTGCTTTACTACCCGACTTTGTAGAATTTCCTGAGAGTGCAACGTTGAGTCTTACAATCATTTCATACCATGGTCTCAGGATAACTGTGTCTCCAAGGCTTTGAAGATGTCTACCGGCTTGGACTTCCAATATTCTTTTCCCTTGTGAAGGGGCCGCATCTTGTAGAGAACATACTAGGCTAGAAATGCCAGGCAGGACCTAGGTTCCAGTCTAGGCATGTAACTAATAGTTTGTATGTAAGGCAGTTCATGTTTCTGGGCTTCAGATTTCACATAGTGGAAGTAAAAAGCAAGGAATAGGTCATCTCTCAGGACTCTCTCCACCCCTAAATTCTGTAGTTCTTTAACTTGTTTGTGAACTTTCAACCTAAGAAAAGATCCAGGTCTACGAGTTACTGAATAAAATATCTATTTCATCATTGTCCTTTCAGTACAAGTTTATACAGAAGATTGACAAATGATTTCTGTTTTTTTCCTAAAAGATCCTAAATTTGACTAGAGGAAATCAAGCTAAGAGACTTGGCATTGTTTTCTTGCATACAAATGAACCATTGTCTTACACTTAAACTTCTTTTGCCTCTCAGATCCAACCTAGAAATAATGTTTCACTCAAGATAAGGCTTGTGGTTTAGGAGATTCTGGTCTGGCTTGCCTCATTTTAAGACTTCTATCATCTCTTTTCAAAACCTGAGGAGGACCTCATTTCCTGTTTGATAGTTCCTCATGTTTTGCCAGCCTCCGGGTCTTTAAGGAAGCTTGCCAAGAGTTCCCGACTGGGAAGGACAATCTGAGTTCATCATAGAGAATGAGCTGGCACCACAGTTGTAATGACTCACCAACCTGGTTGCCCACTTTGCAAAGGCAAGAACCACACCATCTAGTTGAAAGACCTGTGTTTTAGCAAAGTGCAATTGGATCACATGGCAAAACCATCTCAGAATAATCTCTGATCTTCCCTTTTACTGGCCATTTTGAGAACAAGCCAAGAGAGGAAATTATATCCTAAATTTATTTATTAATCTTAAAAATTAAGATTAATTAACAGATATTTGGCTTTATGTTCTAAGAATTTTATAGTGATTACAAGATGGTGAAAATAGGTCACAACAAAATGAACATTCAAGATTAGGTTAGAGCAGACCTCTGAAATTTGACATGAATCAGTATTCACTTTTCGAGCGTTCAGTTACTACATTTCTATAATTCATTTTTTTTCTTGGCGTAGAGTCAAGATGAGAAATAATATTTAGGCCAAAGACATTGTTTTGTTATATAGCCACTGCTTTTTAAAATGCAAATCCACTCTCCCCCTCACCCTTGCTTCATCATTTGTGTGTGCTCATGCTCACACACACACACACACACACACACACACACACACAGCACCCAGATGCTGGAGAAAGCCCTTTCAAGACTTCTAGGACCTGGGTCATGTAAGAGGTAGATGGAAAAATTAAAGGAAGGCCAGAGCAGTAGCAACGCTAAGTCACTGATTTCGCTTTACAAAAAAATCATTGTCTAGGACATAGGTACTTTTAAAAGCAAGCATTATTATGATGAAAGAATATTATATTTCTAAATTATTACAATTCTCATCTAATTTCAAGTCACATGTATGAGCCTTTAAAAATGATTTTGTATTACAATCTGTCACCAAAAAGCAACTAGTAAAAGCTTAAAATGTGTATAGGTTTATCTCGGGGAATTAAATTTTAATTTGTAAGTCTTTCTATTGTTGTGGAACTTTAGGACAAGTTAGCATTTGATATTAACATGGAGGAATATGCTATGGCTTTTTTTAACTTTAGCGTGCGTTGCTCTAAAATAAAGTACACGTGGCAATGTTTCCTTTGCGTGTTCTTTTGTTCTACATAGAGTATTTTTGCAATGTTGTTTTTCATGTACACATTATTTTTATTAAGTCACTTGGTAAAAGATAGAATATATAATAAAAGTAATAGCCCCCTTCCTTTTTTCTAATTTTATTATTTCAAGTTAAGCAAAAATGGATGCTTTTCGTTCAGGAAAAAAAAATAGTGAGTTTATTTTTGATGCAAAAATGATTATTTAGTTACAGTACTTTTTCCCTAATAGATTAGCATTTATGATGGATCTTACTTCAAAGCTGATTATTCTCAAAGAAAAGCAGAGAGTTATTAGATATTCCAAGTAAATTACATTGTTTAAAAAGTATTTCAATACATTATTCAAATTGTCAGCTATTGGAAAGGAGAAAAAACCAGTATCTGTTCCAAATGTGAATTTTGTGGCTTGAAAGACCCTGTAAATTCCAATTTCTTTAGGACAGCAGTAGAAATTAATATGAAAGGCATACACAATTTAGAACTCCCTCATTTTTTTTTAGACTTTAGCTGTGATAGGCATCTCTGCAAGGTAGGTTTTAACATATTTTTTCCTAATTTTTTTTCCCTCCTTTCAGTAAGAAGGATAAGCTTTTAGAGTACCCAGTCACCGTGGTAACTGCCAAAAAAATTCTCCTGAAGTTTGAAGAGGTCAGCTGGCAGGGTCAACAACTCTGGCCTCTCTCTGAGCTCGGTCTAGCATGCCCCAGCCTGCGGTTGGAGTGTCAGGCCAGATCTGACCCTGGGAGGTGGACTATTCCGGCTCTGATATAAATTTTTTGAGTCAGTTCATGGCCTGGACTCTCCAGGTGGCCTCCAAAATCTATTTTGACCCCCTGACCCTGTCTCACGGAGGCATAGCATCTACCCTAAGTAAGGATTTAGCCAGGAATGACAGCTTTCCACTGAGTGTTATTGGGGACAGTATAAACAGTTTAGAAAGCAAGTAAGGAGGTGTGAGTGCTAGAAACCATTAAAAGCACATTAAAAAACAACTTATGAGATCTTTCTTTGTAAAGAAAAGTTTGACATATATATTTGTTACAGAATTTTTATGTGATTTGTAGGATTTTTTAACCTATGAAAAGTTTTGAATAGAAATGCTCAATAAATCACGCATCTTTATCCTTTTATATACTTTGTTACAAATATGCAAATAACATAGCCTGAGGTGCAACAAAATAGGCACGACAGAGATGTAACATATACAGAAAGAGAAGCTAGTTATTAAGATACATTAATAGAGAGTTTCTAGGATTTTATATACTGAATTATGTGTGTGTGCATCTTGGTATGTTTAAAATGGGAAACTTATGAACCTTATAAAAACAACCACCATCAGGAATGAAGATGCACCTGCACTGCAGGCCAAGTACCTTGCTACTTTGTGAAACAAATAGCCAATATACATATTTGGATACAAATGAGATTGAAAATTGTAAACATGGAAGGTTAGCCCTTGAAGCACAAAAGGGGAAAAAAGCAATAAACTAAGTGTCTCTAAATTAACTATGTATTTTCAACAGTTTAAGATACCAAAAGCTTGAAAAATGAAAACGATGCATGTAAATCATCAGTGATTCTTTTTTTTCCTTCTTTTTTTTTTTCTTCTTTTCTTTCCAGGATGCCACCCTGAAAGTTTTATTTTCTCCAGGAAGGTACAGTTGTCTTTGAGAATCCTAGCCTGTGAACACAGTCTGTAAATGTGATCATCAAGCAAGACGGAGCTGCCAAGAGGGAAGATTTTGAATGTTTCTCTCTCCTACAACCCTTCCCAGCGCCCCTCTTCCTTCCGGGGGTGCTTCCCTCTGTTTTCCCCTTTCCCCAGCACTGTTGAAATGGCTCCCAAGCAACACCTCGGTAGCTAAACCAATTGTCCTGGGAAGTTGTTGAGCTGGCATTTCATCTGAGTCCTTTGTAAAAATTAGATTTTCTTTGAGTAGGGACGAGTGTCCTTTTGCGAGAGGGGACAAGGGAGAGTCCAAGCAGAGGGGGAGGGGATGAGCAGTTTATATACATATATACTCTTTGTGTTCAAAGGCCTCCGTGTCTTGGCTTCTCACTATGTTAAATCCCTATTATAAAACTTATCTTCACAAAGCCTATTATAGTATTCTGAGAACAAATTGGACCATGAATAACTTAGTTGGAAGTGTAGATTATTTTCTGCTCAGGGAAAGTTAGAGATGACAACAGCTTAACTAAAAGAATAGTGATTAATCTTAAATAGATGGATTTCAAAGTTTCACTCTTGCTAAAGAGTACCTTTGATATTTCCCCTCTTCAGACTCATGTTTCCACTTTCTTTGTATTAAGAATTGTCCCAGTGATTACACTGTCCACCTAAGACAGCATGACTCTAACTGTAGACCTTTTTCTTACAGGTTGTTAATCTGTCAGAGAGGTGAGCAGAAAGACACTCTACTGTTGATTAAGTATATGGTTCCAAAGTGGTACCTGTGCTGAGACATCACACTCTCTGTTAGAAATAATATCTGGCATAAATCAAAATTTCTCAATTAGACAAAATTATTTAAAAACTTGTTAAGTTTGTTTAATGCTCTACAGCTTACAGAACACTTCTTAGTTCGTAATTGTGTTTGATCCTTAGAAGACTGTTATGATATAAACAAATAGCATTAATCTCATTTTGCCAAGGAGTACGCTGAGTCACTTGCATGCTGTGATCCAGCTGATCGCTGGAAGAACTGGGCTACCAACTCAGATTTTATAGCTTCTGTTTTAAGTGATTAACCTATAGCCATTGGCATTTAAATCCTTTTTGTGTCCTACTCCCTAAAAATTAAGATTTTTTTGTATTAAGGAGCAAAGTTTTTCTATTTCACAAATATAGAAGTTAAAAGACCAGACTGGGAAAAATTCTATTCCCTGAAAAGTAAATGTATGAATTATGGTTTTGCTTTGTGTGTGTGTGCGCGTGCGCAAGCGTGCGTGTATGTGTGTTTCAATAGTCTTTCAGAGATGAAAGTCTTAATTTCTAAAAGCCAAAATGGGCATCCCTATATAAATTAATAACTGCCTAGAATTTTTAAAATGTACTTGAAAACCATAAATTGTTTCAAAATTGAATGTAATGACAAATAAGCCTTTAGAAGCGCATGATCTGCCTATAAAGTACTTGAGAGCATGGCACTGATTAAGTTTTAGGGTGCTATAAGTGAGGTTCCTCCCCACCTTTTTTTTTCAGTTTCATTGAGATAAATTTGACAAAGTAGTAAGACATTTAAAGTATATTTGATAAACATAAACATTTTGTAAGTATTCCTCCTGTCTGGTTAATTAACACATCTATCACTGTACATGTTTGCCCCCCCCCTTTTTTTTTGGTGAGAACATGTAAGTTTTACTCTCTTGACCAAACTCAATTATTCATTGCAGTGTTATCGATTATAGTCACCATGTTAACCATTAGATCCCTAGGCCATGTTCATCTGATAGCTGAAAGTTTCTACCCGTTTATCAATCTCTTCCTAATTCCTTTATTCCTCAACCCCTGTCCTTCTAGTTTTTATAGACCACTATCTTTTAACATTTTAACAAGTTGGAAGAACAAAGTTGTATAGGACTACTTTTGTTTCTCTTTGGTTTTTATGTTTCATATTTTAAAAAAAGTTTGCAAAGTACTCTAGGAATAATAAATAAAATGTTTAGTTAACTTGCTATTGGTGTAATCGATCTAAACAAACAGAAATCAAGAAATACAAAAGGATACTGCCATGTGATTCTTCTTAGGTTTTTAATTACATTGTTTTAATTACATAATGAAGGCAGTGTGGATGTTAACATGGAAATTATTTGTTTATTTCTTAAATTGTATGCACTGAAATTAGTCATTTTATATATACTTAAATTAAGGTTTTTGTCCTTAAATTAAGCTGGCAGCCAGACAAATCCAGTCAAGCTTTTTGGGATTAGATAAAATTAAAAAAGTGTCCAGAAAAGGAAAAGCAACTGTTCTAGTTGGATGTTGCATTTGTGAATTTGTATCAATTATGACATATATGATAACCTTTCTTGTGCTAAGGTTTGTCAATTGAAACGTGACTTTAGACCGAGGATTATTCGTTTTGACTTGGAAGTAGATGCTCAAGCTTCCCAATTCAAACTTCTCCTGTCTTCTCTACTAATTTGCAAGTTAAGAAATGACTAAATAAGGACTATTTAGCACTAATTAGCACTAGTATATTTGTTTAGATGCCTTTTGCAATTTTTAAGTTTCTTATTGTATTACCAATTTCATTTATTTTGTTCATGTGTGTCTTTAACATCTACCACTGCCCAAAACAGGTTTCCCTCCTCTCACCGTCCTTTACTTCTCTTCCTTCCTTCCTTCCTCCCTTCCTCCTCTCCGTCTTATCTTCTTTTCTCTCTCCTCCCTCCTTCCCTCTTTTCCTTCTTCCCCCTTTGTTATGTTACTCTTCAGTTTTTAGGTAGTTTTGTTTCATTTGTTTTTTTTTATTTTTAACTTAAATTCAATTTGCCAACATATAGTATAACACCCAGTGCCCATCTCATCTTGTGCCTTCCTTAATGCCTGTTTTGTTTTAAAATGTAGAGCAGCTTGGGCCTTAAGGGGCTTAGCTAATGCAATCTGATTCCAAACTGATATGCACAGGAAAACATTTACTTCAGTTCAACTTATAAGAAGTCAGAGAACCCTAAAGTATAAAATCAACAATTCCATGACAACCAAAATTCAATCCTGAGGGATCAACTTTTAATTTATAGATTCTGGCAATTTTCCTCTTGTGCTGTCTTTATAGTCTTTCTAAGTCATTTAAGCTATCAGGTAATTTTCAGGTAAACTTATTATGTGGCAGAAGAAGACGAAAGAGGAGGAGACTTATTTTAGAAATCTGAAAAGAAATTTTGTCATATTTACATGTAAGTACATAGAAGCACCATGGAAAACATTGGAAAGCATAAACAAAGATTGGAGATTCCTCGTTTTTCTTTTAAGTTATCTCTGCCCAAGAGACTGGTAGCAAAGATGTGTTTCCTTCCTTCCTTCCTTCCTCCCTTCCTCCCTTCCTCTTTCTTTCCTTCTTTCTTTCTCCATCTCTACCCCTCCCCTGGAGCTATTGGTCTGAACAGAGTAATATAATTTTGGCAAAAAAAGATGTTACTTTAAATGGTTCAAATTTTTTTTCTAGTGACATTTTTAAGTAAGGCAACCAGGCATAAAAAAGTTCTATATTCTTAGGAAAGCAAAAGTAAATATCCGTGTAGCAGAAAAATCAAATACATAGTGAATAATTCAGTCAACTTTTTGAGTATTAGTTTCTATAATATCAGATTTGTCTCTATCTCTCAGTATTATAAATAGATCTTATTTATTTGAGTGCTACAATTCACAAGTATGAGCCTTCATTTACTAGAGAACCAAGACTTTTCCTCCTTGCATTGAGTATTGTTAGGTGCCTACTACCCATTGAATAAGCATAACTGCCTGCCTCTATGATAGGTATGAGGTATCCCTCCAAGGTATTCAAAGATGAAAAGATTAAATCCTTGCCATCATAGAATTTTCTGCTTGGTCTTGGGAAGAAGTAGGGATTGGTAGGCTGCCTGACTGACTCAGTGGGTGGAGCATTTGACTCTTGATCTTTGAGTTGTAAGTTTGAACTCCATGTTGGGTGTAGGGAGTACTTAAAAAGAAACTTTCTTTTTCTTTTTTTTTTTTTTTTAAGATTTACCTATTGATTAGAAAGAGATAGAGAGAGAGCACACCAGCAGGGGAAGAGAATCCTCAAGCAGACTCCCTGCTGAGCATGGATTTCCAGAACACTGAGATCATGACTGGAGCCAAAATTAAGAGTTGGCTACCCAACTGGTTGAGCCACCCAGATGTCCCAAAAGTAAACTCTTAGGAAAATAAAAAAAGAAGTAGGGATTGGAACCAGAAAGTACAAAGAAAGCTCAACACTTGGGCTCAGCTATCTAGGAAAGAGAATGTGGCATGTGCACAAATTTCTCTTCAGAATAAGCTATGGTAAAAGTATGAACAAACAGCTATGAAAATATGGAATACCCTGGAGAAATTTTCTGAAGAAAATGAGGATTGAAGAATGGGTAGGACTGTGGTAGAAAGATATGGGGCCTTGTTCCAGGTAGAGGGGAAAGGTAGAGAAGTGAGATTGTAACAGGGTGCTATAGAAAATTATTTAATGAATTTAAAATAAAGTTTCTAGAATAACATAAAATGTGGCTGAGGGCACCTGGGTGGCTCAGGCAGTTAAACATCTGCCTTCAGTTCAGGACATGATCCCAGGGTCCTGAGATTGAGCCCCACATCAGGCTCTCTGCTAAGGAAAATAAAAATAAAATTAAAAATAAAATTTTTAAAAATAAAAATTAAAAAAATACAATGAAGCTGAATATTATCCATTTTAATAGGCTGATGTATAGCTTTATTCACCTAGGAAATAATGTTCTCATAAGTGCCATGACAATGTGTACCAGTTATAACACCACTTCTTTTAAAGAGAGTTAAAATTCAGTGAAGAAGAATAAGTATGAGAATTCTAGTGCTTCTCATACTAAATTATTCTTGGATCTGGGTGTATCTTCATCTGGATATCTATTTCTTATATTTGCAAAATAACATCAAATATTAAAATGAAGACTCTGGTGGAAAATCAATTATTATTTTTCAAAGATATTTTGTGGGTCACTTCTTACATGCCACTCACTCCCAGAGTTCCATTATAGAGTTACAAATAAACACTGCATCTTAAAATGTATTTTTAAATGAATAACTCTTCAGTTTAAGAGAAGAAAAAAAATCATTTTTAAAATTCTGCATTCAGAAGCCGTACATTCATGCTTATGCAAGTGAATGAAAGTTTAGAAATATATTTAAATATGTTTAAAAGCCTGCAGAGATATCTTGCAATCAGGAAGTATCAGCAATTGTATGAACAACCTTAGAATCTTCAATAAAAAACATACTAAAAGGCAAAGAAGCAGAGAATAAAGGCATACTGCACACATTCTAGAAACATCAGAATCCTATAGGAATCAAAATAGCAAACTAATACAAATGTTTTTGGTGATGCAACATGCAAGAATCTAGGAGTAGAACGTTGTTAAGGATTAATCTTCCTGATAAGAAACATCAAGTGAAGTGGAGACTAAACCTGGACGGAAAGCTTTGAAATCAGGCCCAAGGAATATTTTACAGGGGAAATGGGTTGAAAAGTGTAGAATATCAAATTAGAATGAAATACGAGGCAAATAATATGGATGGATGCAAGGGTTTTCAAGGGCAAAGGAAACACTTGTTCTTATCTGTGGCTGATTAATCAAGCTGGATAAAGCAGTGGTTAATTGTCCAGAACCGTATATTTAATTTCAATTTGACTTTGCTCTACTATGTAGCCTCAAACTCTAGCCCCATCCTAACAGAAGCCTTTCACTTACAGTCTCCATTCAGTCGGTACATAAAGCTTTTGAGTGCTCATAAAGAACAAGGCTCTACGTAGGTGCTGTTGAAAGAAAAAGGTGTTAAAATTAAAAGGAGAAGGTGTTATATCTCCTGCCCTCAAAGATACAAACAATATTCATATTTAAGGCTCCCCCTAAAGCCTAAAGCAAATTATTGACATTTCAGGACCCACTTAAGGACCACTTGTTTGCAAAACTTTTCCTTTATATTTACCATAGCTGTATATCAGATATCCCCAGCACCATAATTCTAAACTTGACTATGGAACTGCAAACAATATAAAAGTTTATAGAAGCAGAAGTGAAAGTGGTGTGTAGAGTAAGTAAAAGTGCCCATTGTCACTTCTCTGGAAGCATGTATCCTTCTAGATCTCAGATAGAAAGATGTATATGTGAATGTATGTATGGAGAGATAGGCAGACAGATGGTAGCTAGCTACATGATAGGGAAGTAGAGGATTGATCAACTGAGTGATTGATGATAGCGGTTAAGAACATAGACTCTGGATCTAGACAGTCAAGGTTTGAGTCCCAGCTCTACAACTTACTACATATCTGATCTCAGTTTTCTCATCTGTAAAAGTGGGGATGACAGCAGTCCTACCTCACTGGGTTACTGTAAGGATTAAGTGAAGTTCTATGTGGGTTGTTTCCAGCAGTGCTTGGTACATAGTAAGATTTTAAAGGGTTAGCTACTCTTCTATTATCAATACACATAAACTAAGTTTTTTAAGAAATGAAATTTTATTATGTGTATTTTCTCACTTCATAATATGTCAAGGAGAATAGACTTATAACGTGGATATCTGTTTCACCCCGTAACTGCTGCATAATATCCCACAGTGTTGGGTCAGAATTTTTTTTTAAAGATTTTATTTATTTATTCATGGGAAACACAGAGAGAGAGAGAGGCAG